CATCGCATGTTTCCTTCGCTAACGGACTTCTGGAAGGGCCCTTCGTGAAGGGATTCAGTTGTTCACTTTCGTTTGGAACGTCACTACAAATGGCATCCCCTTCCCGAAGTGCCCTTCAAGGGCGCAAAAAAGCCATTTGGAATTCGCCCAATGCTAATAATAATTTCATTTGTACTCTGAGTTCCCAGTAGGAACTTTCAACCATAAGCCTCCTCAAGTCAGAGTTCCAACTCGGAAACTCAGAGGAACTGCAACAACCCTGATTTCAGAATCCAATATGGTGGCTCAGTGCATCAACAACACTTATGCTACGTCTACGTCCTACATCATCTACTGGAACGCCACTCTCTCGTGAATGCGTGTACCAGTTAACGGAAGCTAGAGATTACGGTTTATAAAGTTTTAAATATGGATATTTTTCTTACACAAATGCATCACTTTGCTTCAGAAGGCCTTTATTAATCCCCCAGAGCCTTGTGGACCACTTTTTATGATGGATGGATGCACTTTTTTAGGCTTAAAAATCTCGACCCCCATTCACTGCCATTATAAAGCTTGGAAGAGCCAGGATATTTTTTAATATAACTTTGTATTCGTCTGAAGAAGAAAGTCATATACATCTAGGATGGCTTGGGGCGGGTAAATTATGGGGTAATTTTCATTTTTGGGTGAACTATCCCTTTCACAAGTTTAAGCATATCACAGTTGCCTTTAGGCAGCCCTATTTTGTAATTTTGTCAGATATTACTGTAGCAACACGTAAGGATATTACGGTATTCATACTGTAAGGTTTAGCAAAAAAAAAAAAGTACTCTAAATCACATGGGTATTCTATTAATACAGAAAATGTGCAACATTTTGCACAGTACTATACAGTACTGCACAGTACTTTTCACATACTATATTGTGCAGAAACAGTGCGTAGTGTGGTAGTATGCTATTCAAACATAGCCTACGAGCACTCACACGCAATTTTCATCTCATTCTACAAGACGACACACTTTTCAACTAAAGTACATGTGTACGTGAACAAATTGAAAAAGTATTCCCTCACGCCAGAATGAGCGATCACACCCCTCACACAATTCTGTGTCAAGCCTTTCCTCTGCAAAGTGGGTCAATGTGTAAAACACTCATAACGCCGCCCAGAGAAGCAGATGAGAAGCATAAGAATCTTTCTAAACAGGCACCAGCAGCAAACTCTCAGCACGTTCTTTTGTCCTCTTCAACAAAACAAGCAGAAACCCATGAGACACTGAGCCCCGATATCAAGCTAGAGAGAGAGACTGAAAAAGAATGGGAGAACAGGAGAGTGTGGAGGTCAGGGTGAGTGAAAGGCTGTTAGAGCGATGACCAGAGAGGGGAGAAACCTGATGGAGGATGCTTGGGAGCCGTCCAAGACTTAATGTCCCTGTGGTCTGCGTGTTTGGACAGTAAACACCCTAATGGCACCATCACAGATAGAAAAAAAACACAACAACAGACCTACCTCTTGGACCGAAAAGAAAAACAAAATTGATGTTGTTACTTTTGGACTGACTTATTAACATCAAGAAGAGCATATACACACATGCTTTACAGACCGATCTGATATTGTTTATATGTTCCTCCGTGAGATGTTTATTCCACAGTGTGTTTATTGAGACAAAGCTATGCATGAAAAATGGTTAGAAGGTGTTCTGATTCTTCACTAAATGGTTTTTATGGCTGAAAAGGTTTGGGATTGACTATCACAAAACCTCAAAAACCCTAAGGCCTGAAACATACTTTACGCAAATCAGTGAACGCAGATGTTTCTAGCTATGCTATCTCACTTTTATGTAGGGCTGCACGATAAATCGCATGCGATATTTAACGCGCATCTTATCAGTAAAGCCGGTTCTGTAATCAGCGGTAAATTTCCATCATGTGCGTGCTTTCACATTGAGCAGCATTAACTACACAGAGCCGTTGTTCACCGACAAGCTGCGCAAAACCACGTTCATATTCGCGCAATTTTTTGCGCAGCTCGTCAGTGAACAACGGCTCTGTGTAGTTAATGCTGCTCAATGTGAAAGCACGCACATGATGGAAATTTACCGCTGATTACAGAACCGGCTTTACTGATAAGATGCGCGTTAAATATCGCATGCGATTTA